TCTTTATTTTCTTCTTTTTCACATATTTATATTTATAACCTCAGTTATAGTTAGTTTAGTTTATTTAGTTTATTTTATACTTTTTTAATTCCAATTATTTACATCAGCTGTTATTTAAATTTACTGTCTAAAAGTTTCACATTTGACTAAATTGTATATTGAATTTAGTTTTCATTGGCTTTTACGTAATATTAGAAAAATTAAACACGTACTATCACAGACAGATGCAGAAAAACTAATCCATGCATTTGTTACTTCAAGGCTGGATTACTGCAACTCTTTATTATCAGGTTGCCCCAATAAGTCCATTAAAACGCTCCAATTAATTCAGAACGCTGCAGCACGAGTACTGACAGGAACTAGAAAAAGAGATCACATCTCTCCTGTACTAGCTACTCTGCATTGGCTCCCTATAAAATGTAGAATAGAATTTAAAATCCTCCTCCTCACCTATAAAGCTCTTCATGGTCAGGCCCCTTCATATCTTAAAGAGCTCATAGTACCCTATTACCCCTCTAGAACACTACGTTCTCTGAATGCTGGGCTACTTGTGGTTCCTATAGTCTCTAAAAGTAGAACAGGAGCCAGAGCCTTCAGTTACCAAGCTCCTCTCCTGTGGAACCAGCTTCCAGTTGTGGTTCTGGAGGCAGACACCCTCACCACATTCAAGAGTAGGCTTAAGACATTCCTCTTTGATAAAGCTTATAGTTAGGGCTGGATCAGGTGAGTCCTGAACCATCCCTTAGTTATGCTGCTATAGGCCTAGACTATCGGGGGATTTCCCATGGTGCACTGAGCTACTCTCTTCCTCTCTCTTTCTGCACTCATTCATGTCCCATTAATGCATGTTACTAACTTCATTTCTTCCCCGGAGTTCTTGTGCTTTCTCGTCTCGCAGGTTCTCATGGATCCTGGTGGAGCCTCCTGCCATGGTCCTGCTAGATTGCCATTGCCAATACTGTTGTTGCTATGCACCTGTCTGTCTGTCTGTCTGTCTGTCTGTCTGCTCTCTGTCTCTCTCTCTGCCTCTCTCTCTCTCTCTCTCTCTCTCTCTCTCTTTTTTTTTTTTCACCACCCACCTAGAGCCGGAGGATCTGTCCTAGGTTTCTGCCTTTTAACAGGCAGTTTTTCCTTGCCCTTGTCTCCAAGGTCTTGCTCATGGTGGTACTGTTGGGTCTCTGTAAATAATGTTTTAAAGAGTTCGGTCTAGACCTGCTCTATTTGAAAAGTGTCCTGAGATAACTTCTGTTATGAATTGGCGCTATACAAATAAAATTGAATTGAATTAATATAATATAATAATATAATAATATAATAATATAATTATATAATTATTATATTATTATATTATTATTATTAATATATTATATAGAATTAAATATTATATAGAATTAAATATTATCAGGTCATTAAGCTGGACAGACGTGATGCATTCACTGACCTCCACCGCCTTGTAGAAGATGCTGCTGCCGATCTGGACCACCTCCAGGTTCTGCTCCTGCTCGTTCCTCGCACACTTTATATACGTCATCCAGCTCCTCTGGTCCTCCTGACTGGCGTCGATGAAATACCTGACGGTCCCGTCCTCGTTGAACACCTGGGGGGGGGGCATCGTGCAAAGCATTGTTAGTTATTCATTAGAAAGCTAGCTAGTTAGTGCTACATCAGTCAGTTATAGTTAGTTCATTAACCATAGTTAACCAGCTAGTTGGACGCTAACAACCAGTGAGTCAGCTAGTTAGGTAGAAGTTAGCTAGCATGCTAGGATCAGTCGTTCAGTTAACTAGCTCTGAATCAGTCACTGCTAACGGTGGCTAACGGCTAACCTGGCTACACTTCAGACTTTAGAGGTATTAGCCGTTAGCCGTTAGCCACCGTTAGCAGTTAGCCATTAGCCGTTAGCCATTAGCCATTAGCCGTTAGCCGTTAGCATTAGCTAGTGGTAGTTGGCCTGTTCCTTTAAGAGCTGGTGAGTCAGCGAGTCTGTGCTGAATGTGTAAACACAAACAATGCACTTTGTTTACCTCCCACATGAGGTTGTTGTTCTTGTACAGGTCGATGTGTTCAGGTGAGATCAGGCGTCCGGTGAACGGTCCCATTTCTGTTCCCGCTTTAATCCACGTTTTAGAGAAAATCCCCAAACCTTCACCTGGATCACCAAAACACAGAGACCACGACGTCAGGGACATTTATTCTAATGTATATAATATATAATATATATATTTATTATAATGTATTATATTATATAATGAATACATACATAATATATAATATATATATTTATTTATTATATATTATATAATAAATGTATATATTATATAATATATACATTATATATTATATATATATTTATTATAATGTATTATATTATATAATACATAAATATAAATATATAATATATATATTTATTATAATTTATTATATTATATAATGAATAAATATATTATATATAATATATATATTTATTATAATTTATTATATTATATAATGAATAAATATATAATATATAATATATATATTTATTTATTATATATTATATAATATATACATTATATATAATATATATATTTATTATAATGTATTCAATAATCACACAGTATGAATATAATATCACATATTCAGATCAGTTTCAATTTAGAGGAATAAAATGACAGTTTAAATTATATAAAGAGTGAAAACAGAGAAAATGCGTTTGGTTGTAATTTTCATGCTCATTAAAGAAAATACAGCAAACAAACAAACAAACAAACAAACAAACAAATAAACAAACAAACAAACAAACAAACAAATAATATATAATATGTTAGCTCATATAATAAATATAAAGAGAGGTTTTACCTGGAACTGAACTCTGAGCGATGATCACTTCGCTGGGTAAAACCAGACTGGACAACTTCTGAACCTCTGAACAAAAGAACACACAAATACACTTATTGATTTTAATTCTTCAATATCAGCCGATCAATAAAATATGTCTGCCGTTTCACAGCGACGCTCGTCACTAAAGTTTAAAGTTAAACTCAACTTTATAAAAACTTCATTCTTGAACAATTTTTCTCTAAAGAAGAAAAGTTAAATATAATTTTATTTAAAACATTAAAAAGAGTTTAAATAAAAATATTAATAAAGACTTTTTATTATTAGAATGAAGTTGAGGGTGTAAAGCTGAAGTTTCCCATAAACAGTGAAAGCAGCACAGAAAGGAGTTTAAATGATCTTTTTTCTCCTTCAGCAACCATATTATGTCTCCACAGACCCCCACAGACCCCCACAGACCCCCACAGACCCTTACAACACCCCAAACCCCCCACAGACCCCACAGACCCCCACGCCCACAGACCCCCACAGACCCCCACAGACCCCCACAGACCCCCACAGACCCCCACAGACCCCCACAGACCCTCACAGACCCTCACAGACCCCCACAGACCCTCACAGACCCCCACAGACCCTTACAGACCCCCACAGACCCCCACAGACCCTCACAGACCCCCACAGACCCTCACAGACCCCCACAGACCCTCACAGACCCCCACAGACCCCCACAGACCCTCACAGACCCCCACAGACCCTCACAGACCCCCACAGACCCCCACAGACCCTCACCCACAGACCCTTACAGACCCCTACAGACCCTCACAGACCCCCACAGACCCAGACCCTTACAGACCCCCACAGACCCCCACAGACCCTTACAGACCCTAAATGACCCCACAGACCCCACAGACCCCCACAGACCCTTACAGACCCTCACAGACCTCCACAGACCCTCACAGACCCTTACAGACCCTCAAATGACCCCCACAGACCCCCACAGACCCCCACAGACCCTCACAGACCCTCACAGACCCTCACAGACCCCCACAGACCCTCACAGACCCTTACAGACCCTTACAGAACCCCACAGACCCTCACAGACCCCCACAGACCCTCAGAGACCCTTACAGACCCCCACAGACCCCCACAGACCCTTACAGACCCTCAAATGACCCCCACAGACCCCCACAGACCCCACAGACCCTTACAGACCCCCACAGACCCTTACAGACCCTTACAGACCCTCACAGACCCCCACAGACCTCCACAGACCCCCACAGACCCCCAAAGCAGAAATATTTATTCATGTCTTTTGGGGGGAAAGAAAACTCAAACTGAGAGACAATAAAATGAAATGAGAAGAAAAGAAAAAGAGAGAAATGTCTCAGCCGGTTTCACGGTCCGGATCAGGACTGGGATCAGGACTGGGATCAGTACGGGATCAGGACTGAGCGTGAAACCGGCGGAGACATTGAGGAGCAGAGAGGATAATCCCGGTACCGGCGGGGAGAAACACAGCAGAAATAATCCGGTAGGAAAGGAACCGGAGGGTTTTAGTACCGGATCCAGACTCTCCCGGATCCGCTGAAATTGTTCCGAACGAATTCTACCAGAAACGGAAACGAATTTCACAATAAAATGTAATTAAAATTAAAAAACTGCCACAATAAAAGAGAGAAAAAGGCCGCGAGCGGAGCGGGAGATTTTTTTACTTTTAAGCCCAAAACAGAAAATATATTATTGATTGATTACCGATCGATAGCAATTATTAACGATCAACAGGCGGGTGGTTCATTAACTGATTGATTCATTATCAGAGTTTCAGACTGAATCTGATCACATCCGGATTTCACGGCGTTCAAACTGTTTGATCAGTTATTGATCAGGTTATTTATCAGACTAATTAATGAACTTTAAACGAGCTGCAGATTAATTTTACACCTTCTAAAAATATGGGAATAAAGTCTGATATTAGCCGATCACTCTGATCGATCAGCCTGGATCCGGAGTCCTTAAACGGCTTTAATGTACAGACAGTCTGATATCTTCAGGAAGGAGAATTATTAATAACGTTTAATTAATGTTCATCACTAATTAATAAACATTTATAACGCAGCGTTTTAATGTTTCATCCGGTCACAGTGACTCAATAATAATAATAATAATAAACTACATCAGTCAGA